ACTTACGGTAAAAGTAAAAAAAAAGTAAAGGTACAAGTTTTTTTTTTAGTTTTTTGTTTTTATTTTAATTTTGTATTAATTTTTTTTTTTTTTTTTTTTTTTTCAGATTTCTTCTGATGCACTTATTATTAGCAACAAAACTACGTTTTCCTATTTGTGTTTTGTATGTATTTATGTACGTTTTTTTTTTTCTCCTTTATACTCCCGCTACGTTTCCAGTCCAATGAGGGAAGTTTGCCTCTCTCTTTACCATTGTCTTCTGATCATAATGACCAATTTTTCTTTCCATCACCATCGCCATGTTGGGTAACGTGTCATTTAATGCTTGCTGTATGGAAGGATGAATGAGGACAAAAGTGGTGTCGTGCACTAAAAAAGTAAAGCAGCCCATCCGGACTTTTTTTTTTGCTTAATTTACTCGTTGTTTCTTTGGGCTCTTTGCTTGTGTGTGCATGTTCTCGTGTTGAATCCTGTTTGTCGCCACGTGACTTCAGACCGCATGACTTACTCTCTATATGTGTATTGAATTTACTTGGATCCCTTTCTCTGCGTTTTCCTGCGTGCTTCTCCAGACTTGCGTTTACTTATCATTATTTTTTCTTGTGTGGGTGGGTGGATTATTCCTTCCCGTGGAGTTTCAGTGGTGTGCAAGGTCAGTGGTCCATCAGCTGTTTATAGAGCTTAAGAATGGGGAGAACCAGGAAGAACAAGTCCGCGGATGTGCACGAGGCGGAGGAGACGCTGAGTGATGCCTCCGCTGCCCACTCAGACGCGAGTTCCGTGGCAGAGCAGCCCGTGACCAAGGCGAAGGTGTACCACGGCAATAAGCTTAGCAGGACTGCCGGCGGCAAGGTCAAGAAGGAGGGGCAGGCGCAGCAGTCACCAGGAACAGTGGCGAAGGGATCACGTGCGGAGGAGAACACGGCCGACGAAGTAGGGGTTAAGAGCAGGGGGGAGGGAAATGTCGTTGACTCGGCGGCTGGCCTACCAGAGCAGCTGGAGGAAGATCTCGCAGTCTCGCGCGTTGGACCCGTCGAGGTGCTGTACTGCCCTATTTGTACCTTTCCTGCCGAGATGTGCGAGTACAGTGGGATGTATGAGCAATGCCGCCCGTGGCTGCTTGAGCATGCTAAGGAACTTGCTGAGGCGGAAGAGCGCGGCCGCAAGCGGCGTGCGCTGACGGAGCGGGAGCGTCTGGAGCGACTCGTGCAAGGCCGCGGTACAAAAAAGCCAATTGAACGCATCGTCCTTTTGGAGGTGTCACAGCGTAAGGGGCGTAAGATGACCACCTCTGTAAAGGGTCTGGATCTATTTGGCTTCAATCTGAAGGACCTATCGCGGGAATGGAAAAAGTTGTTCTCCTGTGGGGCCGGCGTGACATCGTCTGAGGAGTTGAAGCAAAACTCCATTGAAATTCAGGGCAATGTGGTTACCCAACTCATTGAGATGCTGCCAGAGCGTTACAATATCCCCAAATCTGCCATCTACCAGATGGAAGACAAGAAAAGGAAGTGCTGCAGTGAGGTAAAGTGACGGCTGGGGAAGCAGGAGGAGTAAGGAGAAGTAATGGGGACATAGTTGAGGAGGGGGACTTTACGGGCTTGAAAGAATTTGGTGTGTATCCTTTTTGTTTTTCCTCTTTGCTCAGGTTTGAATGGAAACGCTTATTTACATGGGGATTAATGCTCGTAAAACCCAAACAAGGAAACACCCCGGAGCAGAGGGAGACAGCAATAGTAATAGCAACGCTGCTGCGGCTAAATCCAAACATCACAGATGAAGTGCTGCTGATGCATATTTTTTTTGTTGCTTCTTTTCTTGTTTTGTTTTGTTTTGTGTTTGTGTGTGCTTTATTTTCTCTCTGTATGACTGCGTGCATGCGATAGCTATAGCATAGGGGAAGGTGCAAAGATCTTACTTGTAGTTCGCGGCGTGGGCTCTTGCATACCGCGTTCTTATTTTATCCATAGTCTCTCTGTGGGCATATGCGTACGTCTGTATAAATTGTTTTATTGTCTGTGTGTGCACTTCTCTTGCCCGATTGATGCCACTAAACTACCTCCGACGCATTGTGCTCTCGACACTTGTCTCAGAAGGTTCACGGTCATCGATCATTGAGCGCGTGGCTAAGAAGACGTCACGGTTGGAGCGTGACGCACCAAAGAAGATAGCGGTATGGGCACGTGCTGCGTATGTGGAGGCAAGAAAGGATGCTGAAACCTTGTGGACGAGGCTAACCAAAGACTCGGAGAAGAAGGCAGATACCAAGCGAGTAGAAGGACCGAAGAATTCGCCGCGCGAGAGACAGGAATAAGCATTACAATGATTGCGCATGGCGTGCGATACGTCTGCGTGGTGACTGGATAGCTTGATTAACTTCTGGATAGTGTATTGCTGTGGAAGTACTGCCGTCTAAGTTTTCATTAACTACATCCGTTTTTTTTTTTTGTGGTTGTTGTTGTGGCTGACTTTATTTTCTCCTTCTAACGTTCATTGAAGACATATATATTTACACATGGGGTTTACTCCTGCGTTTTGTTTCTGTTTTATGTGGCATGACAGGAATGGTACGGCTCAGTTGCAGCTAGACGTTGATTGGACAATGCACACTATGCAGGAGTATGTTCAGCTTATCGGCGAAACCACGAATGATGCAGATGCCGCCAGGCTAGCCGAGGAAGCCATTAACGCGCCCTTACTTTTCTTCTACGGCACCCTCTTTGAGCTTCCCTCGGTGCAGAGGCTCCGTAGCAACCCTTCGTTTGTGTGGATCCCACAAGTAATGGAGGTCCTGTGCTACGGGATGGTGGATGAACTGCGTCGTCTCCCTGGCAGTGTCCAGGCCCATCTGACACCGTTGGTCTACGAAAAGATGAATAAGTTGTCTGTCCTTTCTCTCTGCGGCCGCGATGACATGAATGTTGGTCTCTGCATTCGAACGGTGCAAGAAACCATCGGCGCCGCCATGCCCTTAGAGGCGGAAGAGCTGCTTATCGACATGATGTCTGATGGGTTGTTGCGTGGGCGCATTGACCAACGCGGAGGTACGGTGGTCTTGCAGGAGTTTGAAGTGCGCGAGGTGCGACGCGAGGATGTTGCGAAGATACGGGAAAAGCTGGAGGCGTGGTGCTGCAACTGCGATACGCAGCTTGAGATGTTGGCGAAGATGATGGGGGAGTGAGAGCGAGGGCCACATGAGAGGCACGCCAGTAGGAGCAAACAGGGGGCGTCAAGGAGGCCACAACGGGAATGGGGAGAGACGTGCATGGGGTTCGTTGCCCTTGGGAAAATGAAGACGGGGCCTGCCGTGGGTGGCGAACATCCGTCACTCCATTTATTTGCCGAGGAGTTGCGAGGGAACAAACAAATAAACGAAGGGAAAAAAGGCCGGCGGGAAGCGTACTTTTGCTCTTACGCAACAAAACGATTCAAAAAGAAATAAGTCTCTGATGGACGCACCCACACTGCCACTCACCTTCTTTCGATCTTCTTTCCTCTCCCCCACTCTCACTTTCTTTCCCATTCTTTTTGTTTTTGCTTTTGTTTTCGTTCATCCATGAATACATGTGTATGCGTGTATATGTGCATGCTTAAACTACGCCAACCGAATAGGGTGGTGAAGGTAAAAGGAAAAATAGGCACGGTGTGTTTGTTTACATGTCATTTGGCCGCGGAGTTGTCACGGAACGTGGTGTCCTCCCACTGACGGTGGATGAACTTGTGGAGAGCTATCAGCACACTCAGCACATTAACGAGGAACTCTGTACCTTCATCGACAATATACGTGTAGAGTGTAATAGGATTACTGAAACTTTCCCTCATGCTGCTCAGGCGCTTCGGGAGCTCTTTGCAGCTGCTTCTCGTGAGAATACGGCTGCCGCGTCTTTATTGATCTCATGTAAAGTAAATGACAGTAGCGTACACGGTAGGAGCCTTAGTAACACCTGCAGTGTTGTTGACGACGGTGGCGGTGTGCTAGAGGGTGTGGCGGTTAGGCGCAAAACAACAACTGAGGTGCCTCATGCGACTGCGATAAGCTCAACGAAGTCACGATTTTTGCGATTTGTAGAAGAGGCTAAGCATGACTACAAGGAGGAATGCGGCGTCTTGCGGCTCAAGCTCTTGGCAATGGAGAGTGAACAAAAGCTGTTGCTGCACGCCCAACAAAAGCTGTGGGAACAAGAGAAGAAGCATGTGGCGTGCGTGTCGTCGTTAGACGCATGTTGCAATGAACTCGCCATGGCTCGTTCGCAGTGCAGTTTTCTCCTGGTGGTACTCAACGGCGGTGAGGCCATGACCATCGCCTCTCCAGTTCAGCATGTTATCCAGCAGATTAGTGACCGCACCTCACTGCGGGGCAGAGAGTGTGACGGATCCACAGCACAGACGGAGTCCGAGGCGGCTGAGGACGATTCAATGCGTTCTCTCGCAGCCCGTTTGGTGCAGACAGAAATCAGTCTCCAGGAGTCCCAAGCAGCAGTGAAATCACTTGAAGACAACGTCAGGAAGCTAGAGTACAGTAACGATCAGCTTGGCAAAAGGCTGGGGGCACTGACGGCGGAGCGCGACACACTAAAGTTGCAGAACGGACAGCTGGAAGGGCAGTTACATCGCTTGTTGTCGTTGTTTCACGACCACCCTGAGGCGCGGCAGAGGATACAAGACGGTGAAGGGGCAAAAACGGTGTTGGCGTGTGAGGCTAAGAAGGGGTTGGAGAAGGACAAAATGCGGGAAGTCGTAGAACAGCTTCGTCGTGAGAACCGTGGGCTTCAGAACTCACTTTTGCAGCTTCAGCGGCAGGTCAATGATTCTGAGTTGCGGACAGAGGAGATGTACGCTGCAGGTAACGGGGATATTTTACTGTTGAAGGAGGAGGTGGCGCGCCTTAACGACGCTCTGCGAAAGAGGCAGTTTGCATTCGAACAGGCTCGTCATGATGGGGAAAAGGCGGCGGCGCGGTGGGAGCTGCTCGATAAGGTGCACCGCACTGTCATTCACCACCTGTCGACGCGGCTGATGTATGACGTTGCCAGACGGTTTTGCCCGTCTTCTTCTTTTAAAGGAACACCTGCAAAAAGGCCCTCCCCCATCTCCACAGAGGAGCTCAAGATTAAAGGGGCCAATGCAACATTATTATCCTCTGTAGCGGCCGCAGAAGGGCCTGAAATGAGGCAAACGCAAGAGGAAGTAACCGCAGTAGTGGTAGAGTCTTCATTCAGCCAGTCCGGCAATGACACACGTGTCCAGGAACTTCTTTCTCTAATTGAGTCGAAGGATGCGCAACACCGCATAGCGTTGAAGCACTGGCAACAGGTGAACCAGGAACTACGCTCTGCTCTCGCGAACTCGCAAGGGGAATTAAAACGATGTGAGGAGCGTATCAAGGCCATGGAGCGAGCAAAAGATGCCTCTGTTAGCCACGCTACGACATATTCACAGGGGGATGTTGGTGATATGTATGGGACTTGCGCCGGAGATGATTCGGCAAAGGCCCGGCCAACTTCCTTGCAGGAGCATACAAGTGTATCCGGTTGGAAACCAATAAAAAAGGCGGGAAATGAGACCCGCCCTCAGCGTGTGTTGGAGATACAGGAAGGAAAGCCCTTTCTTAATATCCTTTGGCAGGGTGCTCGGGAGCGCTGCTCCTTGTCGGAGTGGGGCGCCAGAAGCAAGACAGCGGCGATAAACAGCCTACCTGGGAGTGCTACTGCGCCTTCGGCTACGACGGATCCTTCTGCTGTTGCTGTTGATTTATCCGGTGCCATTCCAATTCGTAACCTCCAGCGCATGCTGCACGACGTCTTGCAGGAGAACATGGCCCTTGCAGCTAGGGTGGAGGAGCTTGAGAACAGTTAAACGTTTAACGCCAGGAAGGATGCCCCTTTATTGATGATGTTGGTGAGAAGGGCTTAACCAGTCGTTTTTGATTCTCATGCACTGGAGTCAACGAGCAAGCAGTGCGAAGCAGAAAAGGAGAATAAGAGGTGAAGGATGGAAATGCATTTTTGTTTCCGTAGTTGTTTTATTTACGTTGCCGTTCGTTTTAAAAATCTTTCTTTTTTACCTTTTTTGTTTTTTTCTTTCTGTATTTCGGCTCCTCCTCTTGGCATGGCTGTCTTTGTTTTTGATTTATTCCCGTGGGTTATGTACGCCCTTCCCTGCTTCTTTGCATCTGCCATGGAGTGTACTGCCTCCCCACATGAGTGGCTTTGCTGCATTGTTTTCAGCTGGACATTTCCGCTATTCCCATCTTCACTCTTTTTTTTTTCTTCTCTTTGGTTGTCTGTCTCTCTGCGCGATGGTTTTCCTCACTCCGTTTGTGCTGTTGCCTCTCAACTTGGCGCCTTATGGGACGTGAGGTGGGAAGAGAAGGAAACTCTAGGATGGCCTCTTCGTCGGTGAGAGCCATGATGGCGAAGGCGGTGACGACGTCCCCAGCCTTCTTTAGTGACAACAATTCTGTGCAGGGGTTCAAGGAGCGAAAGGACGCGATACGGCGGGAGCGGAAGGAGCGTGGGGCGACACTGTCGCAGTGGTACGGGATGAAGAAGGCAGACCTTGGCACGGAGGAGCGACGGGAGCTGGAGCTGCTGCAGTTCCGAAATTTTGTCAACCCCGAGCTGAAGCACCAGGCGCCGAAGAAGAGCAACAAGGAGCAAAACGAATTTGTGGAGTTTGGCTTTTTCGCTGGCACGGGGCGAAACAAACGCCGCCGCCTCAAGTCATTCGCAGATGAGTGGATTGCGGAGAATCCCGAGCTGGAGCAGGTGGTGACAAAGCGACTGAAGCGAAACGTGCGGCTGAACCGTAAGACAAAGCAGATTGTGGCAAAGAAGGCCGCGAAAGAGGCGGCTCGTGCAAAGGCCAAAAAGGCATCGAAACGGTCTAAAAAGGGGGATATGCTCTTGTGAGGCCCTGGAGTGGTGCTACATGGTGAATTTGAGGGCGACTAGGAATAAAGTTGAAGTCGTTTAATTTTACGCTGTTTTCTACTCAGCCCCTCTTTTTTTTTTGTCTGGCGTAATGTGCATGTGTGGGTAGTGGAGAGGGAGGAAAAACAACAACAAAACAAAACGCAAAAAAAAAAAAAAGAAATCGGCTATGTGAGAAGATGGCTTTGCGATATTATCTGACTTTTTTTTTTTGTCTCGACGCAGGCGGCGAGAAATGCAGGTGTGTCTTGCGGTACCGCCGCTAACGTCCTTCTTTTTTTTTTCTCCACACTTTTTTTCTGTTTTGTTTCTGTGTTTCTTCGCACCGGAGAATGTGGGGCTGTTTGTTTGCATGTACATTTGAGAGCGGGAGCTGCAGAGGTGGAGCGGTGTAGGCAGTTGATTTAAGGGAAATCTGATGTCGTTCTTTCCACCATTTCAGCAACGTGCGGATTTGGGTCGCAGTGCTGAAAAAGTGGGAGAAGATGCGACTGTTCTTGCCGCCCTTCTCTGCAACACTGCGACGCTTGGCACCTACCGCATCCAGGGTCATTCCCACCAGAGGGCGAAGGATGTGATTGAACACGGAAGAAGAATCGGTCGACTAAACTTGGAGAAGTATCGCCCGCTTGTGCAGGATGTGCAATTGGCGGCCCAAAATTTGCATGAAACAGTCGAGGGAGGACGTGCTGCACTGCAGAGAATGCATCTATCCGTTGGACGGCTTTTTGTGGGCATGCCAGAGATGGAGGAAAACCCACCCACTGGGACGACTCGCGGCGCAAAGCCTTTGCCCCCATCGTAGCGCTGTTGTTGTTGTTTTTCCTGCTGCTCTTCTTTTCTGTTTTGGGAGAAAAATAGGCGTTGTGTGTTTGTGTGGGTGTGCTCAATTATCTTTACTCACTCTCTCTTTTTTTTTCTTCTCTCTCTCTCTCACACACACACCTTTACTATTGTTGTTGTTTGCTTTTTTGACCCTTTTATTATTATTATTATTGTTTCGTTGGCTTCCGGTCGTGCTTCGGTAGGGGTTTCAAGTGAGGGCTTCCTCGCGGCAGGGTGCAGCGAATGTCGCGCAGCAACGTCTTTGGCCCTGGGTCGCAGTTTTCCTTCACAAAGTTTGGGGCGCTGAACCGAAGCCCCAGCAACATTGTCCTGAACAAACGTGTGAAGGATGTATTTCGGCTTGAAAACCAGAGGCACATCCGCAATGACATGGACCGGGAGCGGCGCTATCGGTTTTGCACCAAGTGTGGCATTACGAGTGTGACAGTCAACTTTAACGTCGTCCCCTCCGCCCGCATAGGGTTATGGGGCCGCTGCGTGGATGACAAGGATTACACGCACCACAACTTGGTGGAGCTCTCAGAGCGAGAGCACAAGGAGTTGCGTGAGTTACCAGTAAGGGAGCGAATACACTGGTGGCGTTATGAGCGGAACCAATAGTATTTGCTGGGATTTGTATGGCCGCAGGAAACACTCCACACGCAAACAACCACCCGTAGTGTACTTTTGTGTGGTGCATTTAATTTCTCCAATCCGCTGTGTAATATGTGGCAAATAAAGACTCGGGTGCCTCTCAGCATTCAGTGTCAACACATAGCGAGAATATTGGAGAAATTGCCTGACGGCTTGGTTTTTATCCAACAACAACACGAGACGGCCGCCGCTGAGGTGTTTTTTTTTAAAGTCCATTGCTACTTGTCAGGTGGGATAGCACATGATTTTTTTCTGCATTGTTGACACAGTGCACTTGGGACGAAGGGAGTTCTCAGACATGTCTCTTGTGTTGTTGCTGCGGATGCGAACTGGGAAACGCAATGACATTCCGGTTGCATGTTTGCTGAAGGGCACGCACGCACATGCGTTCCATCTATTTATCCCATACGTCACCTGCTTATGCGAAGGGCACAGGAGCCAGATACGACCTTCTTTTTTTTTTTGTGTGTGTGTGTGTCGCCAAACATTGTGCAGCCTGTGGTGTGATTCACGCAGGCGCAGATTTTTGAGGAGCCGCCCTTTTTTGGTTTTAAAAGGCACAGAGGATTGCATTTATGCATCGGTCTGTGGAGAGGGTTGTTCGTCGCGGTCGCGGGTGCAAAAAATCATCCTCATACGTGTTTGGTCATGCGGTTTATGTGGCACTGGCCAATTCCTATGCACGCGCTTCTCATTGCCTGAAGGATTTCCGCATTTTTTTTTCTTTTTTTTTTTTTGCTTCAAACGGTCTGCTTGCTGCTCTAAATCCAAGAACCCCGTAACGTCATTTTATTCATACTCTGCTAAAGCTCAAGGACGCGCGCACTGTGGGTTCTGCAAGCCATGTCTTTGGAATTTGAAAATGCAATTCGTGAAATAAGTCTTACGAATACAAAAATACATTCGGCATGCCTTTGGCAGAAAGTCCATGACAAACGCCGGGTGTCTGAAGCAGTTGACGAGAGTTTATTTGAGGCAGTGCTGCTGCACTCCGCCAGGTATATACTCGGGAAGCTGGAGCAGAGAGAGGCCGTGGCGGATTGCTGGGAAGGATACTTGGAGTTTTTTGCAGAGGCATGGCATTCCTTTGGCACAACCTTTGCTGACGCCTTTCTTATTGTGTGTGAGGATATATATCTTTCCCTGTTGAAGTACCCTGATACGCCGAAGGACCTCCTTCAAGAGTATTTAAGCAGCCTTGCCGCCCAGCGACGCATGCCTATGCGAAAGAATCCCAATTGGTCGAGTTCCATCCCGAGTTGCCCGACGTTGGAGGGTGCCTCGGAAGAGGTGGCCTTAGTTCCTGACATTCCCCACAACGAAGTGAAACGGTATTTGGATACCCTCCCGAAGCAACTAACCTTTCCCTTGCACAACATCATTCTTCGTGTGCGACTAGTCAACCCCCTACCTATACCAGGGGTTGTTTCTGTCCGCGAAGGATGGAGGTGCGATACGTGCCATATCGATAATATTCAAGTGGCGTACCAGGCCATGATTTGCGACAGCGGCGATGAGGCGGGTGTTCGCAGCGAGGTACGCTTCCTGAATGCACCAAACCGTGGAGGCTTTGATATATGCCTGAGTTGTGCCGTGTATTTCTATCGTGACGCGACATTGAAATTATCTCAAGCTCTTGGGGATTGCTTGCAAATTTTTCGGGTGAACCCAGTTGCCGATATTAAGTTGCATTCATTTGCATGTGTGGAAAATGTGGCATACTTGACGGTCTCCGTTCTACCGTGGGGGGCGCGGCCCATTGTGTGGGTACTCAGACAAGACGGGCATAATCCACCTGCGAATTGGCGTTCAGCGGCAAAAATAAAAAGCTGCCATCAGTATGATCCTTCTCTGAGGAACGGCGGTGGCTACGACGATCAATGCACCACTTGTATGCAGCCCCTGGCCAACGGGATGCCAGTGCTGGTGACGGTTTGCGGACATTGGTTTCATGTGGACTGCGTTCAAGAAATGCTGAGTATGATGAGCGACGAATGCCCAGTCTGTCGCCGAGAAAATGTTTTATCTAGTTGCTTTAATTTGGCGGGTCGGTCCAACATGTACAAGGTGCAGGTAGACTGTCCAACTGACTCCACGGAATTTGTTGTGGTCGTGGGGGCGTTGCTGACACTAAATGGGGAATACAACAACCCCACCAACATTGCAGCCTGTAGGTCGATCCTGGTCAAACATTCCTGCGCTACCAATTTTGATGCAGTTGTGGACGCACAACTCCAGTAGAAGTTAAAAACAATTGCTATGAAGAAGAAAATGGAAAATAAAAAAAATAAAAATGAAAGTTGGAGACGAGCGAGATACGATATGCCTTTTGGTGTTATTGCAGCCAAGTGCATACCTTTGATGGGAATCGGCATTTGTATTTGTGTTTGTATTTTTTTTTCCGAAGAAAATGTGTGTTTACTGTCTTTTTTTTTTTCTTTTTTTTTTTTTTTTTTTGTGTT